GATGGCTGTGCAGATTCAGTTCTTTAGAGTCCTCCTCGTGACTGCAATCCTGTCTGCCCCTCAGGATCTAAGATCCGAGCTGGATCATTAGATTATGCTTCTTTCCTCTGCTTCTGAAATGAGCTCCATCTTTAAGGGCAAAATTTCACCCTTCATGGAGTTAGGTGCTTTCTTGCATTAAAAAGACAAAGAATCAAGAAGTAAGATTCCCCAGGCAGCAATTTGGCAATCTGAGTCAGCACTCAACCAGCCTTGAGCAGAGTGGCCTCTTTCCCTGTTTCATGCCTGTGGCTCAGGCGTGCGCTGGATCTGATCTGGGTAGGGGAGGCTTTTCCGAGTTTCTGGTGAGTCAGTCACCTTCCACCTGAGTCTGATCTGTTTAGCAGTTTAATACTTTTTCTAAAAGTATGAAACTGTTCCACCCTTAAAGGTGTTAATAAAGCATAATAACCTTGACATTCTAGATATAATACAAATATTCAGGCTTATCTATTTCAGACCCCACTTCCTTCAGGACTCTACTTGTAACAAGTCACTTTATCTCAAAGAGCTTTACTGACCACCCGCCCTAATTAGGATAACAGCATCAAGCTCTGCTCCGCCACACTCCTCTCATTGCGCCTCTCCCCAATACTATTTTTTACTATCTGGCATACTATTTTACTTGTTTGTTTCTACCCATTTATAAGATTTTACTGTTTATTCACTGCTTGCCCTTGTATAATGTCTTGACACGTGGTAAATACTGAATTAATGCCCAGAAATCAACAGCACAGCCTAGGTGGAACTTTGTGCCCCTCACTGTTTGGGGAATGAAGCATCATGCTGGGACCAAAGCACCCACGTCCCATCCCCCATTCCACTTCCTCATTTTGCCTTCCAGAAATAATCACAATCTTGATGTTGGACCTTGTTAGCTATCTTTAACCTGTTCACTTTGTTTTAATAACTTTGATCATACGTTCACAAGTAATGTTCCTTTTAGAAAAATTAGTAGTGGGGGGGCGATATATACACATGCGCACACGCAAAGAAGGATCCCATGATTTAATACTTTTTTTATACCTCACACATGTTGTTTATCATTCTCATAATAGACCTCATAGAATGCCTCGGAGCATTCATAATAGTTCTAGGACCTTGGGCAGGGTTCTTGACTGTGGAACCTGAGCTTCCTCAGTTATTCCTCTATAAAATAGGTGTGATCATAGAATTTACCTCATAGGAGTATGGTCAGAATTCAGTGAGAACTCAGATGAAGACCGTAGCAACAGTGCGCAACACATAGTAATCGCATAGGTGATATCAGATGCTTTCCCCTGGTCTCAGACCCTTTCAGGTTATAGACCTTGTGTTCCGTGTAACGTGTAAATCGCCTTGGGGACTGGTTTGGGAGTAGACCATTTTTGTTGGCATCTCCTCTGGTACAGTCCGTGTTGGGCACGTATTTGCATTTGCAGCACGCTGCTTGGAGCTGATGTGAACTGACTCTGCTGATTGCTCTCTCCAGGTGAAGAACATCATTTACCATGCAGTGAAAGATGCTGTTGGCACCCTCAAGGCTCATGAATCCAAATTGGCAAGGTCTTAGGCATGGCGGACTCCCAAACTCTCCTGTGAAGCAGGTCTCTCACTCACAACACATACAGGGAACGGCAGGGTTCTCTGCTGGAGCAGAGGCCTTTCCCTCGGAGCCAGTGTGGTCAGTATTACAAGCTCTCCAGCCACTCTTTTCTACGCTGCCTCAGCATTGAAGGTTGACACAGGAAAGTTGCTCTGCTCACACACGCAGTTTCAAACTTCAAGCCGAGGGTGCCACATCCCCATCCAGTGGCCTTTTTGGGATTCCAAATTGCCCAAATACCCCGCTGGGCTTTCCTGCGCATTCTCATGATTTCAGATCTGTGGAAACCAGAAATATGGGCACATCATTCTTTTCTTTTTCTCTGGTGCCTGGTTTAGGTGGGAATGTGTTTGCAGGTGGGGGATTACGTAACCGCTACAAGTAAGGGGTAATTTCTAAAATATGCCTGCTGGAAGCCTGCCCGTGTCTGCACGTGACCTCGGACTCAACCCATCCCAGGACACGGTGAAGCCATTCCCCTCGCTCTCCCGTGAACACTGGAGTCTTGCAGGACCCCGGGAGAACCCACTGCTTTTCCCAGGAGGCTCCAGGATTAGGAAACGTGTGTATTTAGTGAAAAATAGGTTTGTAGTGAAATAGTTACTATTTCATGAAAGTAGATATTTTTAGAATTTTTGAAATACCACAGTTGTTTTCCTGGATTATAAGGAAAGGCACATTACATTTAGTCTTCCTTTCAATAAAATTCTTCAAAAGAACTATGATTTTTAGAAATCAGATGCCCATTATAGCACAAAATCAGCCAAAGCAAAACTTAAAAGAATTGGCTTTTTAGGATTCTTTTTGTTTCTCCCCTCCCATCTCAGCCCTGTCTCGAGGGAACAGTCGCCTGAGAAAGTACTGTGTCATGTCTGAGCAACAACGGGACACTGGTGACTCTGGGAACCACTTTCACCTATTACCTACCAGCGTTCCCTGGGGACTTAACATTCATTTCCAAATGGGAAGGGAAGTTTGACTTCCAACATGAGCTTTTTGTTTTGTTTCAAGGTTTTGTTTTCTTCCCCCCCTTTTTTTTTTCTTGTCCAGAAATATTTTTAGCAAAACTTTCTGACTCAGTGGAATTTTATTACGAATTTATTTGAAAATGATGGAATTCATTGGCCCACAGGTACATTAGGAAATGTATCTGTCTTCTCTCCAGCTGTACTGTAGTACCCTGCAGACTTGTTTATATGTTCACAGTTACACTTTTTTTTTTTAATAAAAGTCACTTACTGTAGAATACTTTTAATTTCACTTTCTGTATTTTAATTTTGTTGAAGGGCTGATTGGGATTTCCATGTTCTTATTAAAAATCTAACAAACCTGTTTGGAGTTGACTAAATTTTTGCTGTGTCAACCCATGTAATCAGTACTCAGAGCTCTTTGCTTTGATGAACTTGGGCCTAGGGGAAGGGGCCACATGAGTTTGAAGATTAGAGGTCTTTGCTGTATGATGTACTCTGAGTATGGGATGGGAAAGGTTGGACCCTGCCTTCTTGGGCCACGCCTGGGGGAAAGGCCCATACTGTTTGGGCTGAGCAGGGTACTGGGCAGTCGACTGTGGGGCTCTTCAAAGTAGACCTAATTGCCTAAATAAGGAACATGGGACTTTGGATCCACTTCAGGGTTGTCAGGAGAATGCTCAAACGAGTTTTTTAATTTATTTATTGAGCAGTCATTAAAATGGGCCTAAGGGCTGAGGACAGACCACATTCCAGATAGAAAGGGCCTTTTGGAAAAGAAAGCGTACAGACTAGCAAGATTTATCGGTGTCTCTGGAGCCTGTTGGAAATGTCTTGCAAACATTTGAGCCTGGAAATAAAATTATCAGGGTGGAAATAGAGCATTGTGTGGTTAGAGGATACTGAGTTTCAACAGGAAGGTATTCTTGGAAATGCAGAGCCCTGTACTTTTTGCGCTGGTCTTTCAGCCTGATGGGCGGGCCTTGACACCGTGGCCACTAGAAGGATTACAGTTACAGATAAAGCAGAAGCTTTGAAATGGGACACAAAAATGGGGATCAGTGTGGCATAAGGGGAGTAGGGGAGGTGGGTTCTTGGTTGCTTTGGTGAAAATCCAAAGCAGCGAGCCTACATTCTGGTTATAAATGGTTCAGAATTAGGGCAGCCAGTGCTTGCTGGAGGGGTGAAACGAAACCTTGCCTTGGGCTCATATCCTTCCGTAATTTTCTGCCCTCTGCCTCAACGTAGGGTGTCTCCTTTGGGAGCATTGGGGCCTGTACCCTGTGAGGGTTAGGAAGCAGATGGAGAGGGGCCCTCTTCCAGCCTGGCTGACTGGTAGTCATCACGAAGGGCCCAGGTGGATGAGTGCAGCTGTGCCTTTGACCTGAAGAGCTGTCTTTGCAGTCTGCAGGGGGAATAGGGTTTGCTAGTTGGTTGTCGGGAAGTGGCCTGTTGGAAAGTGTCTGGGGTTCCTATTTTAGCATGACGTAGTGGTTTGGGGGCCATAGGCAAACGAAAATTCAAACCTCTTCCAGGATTCACGGAGATGAAAAGCTCTAGCACAAGACCTGGCACACAGCACTCAATCAATCTAGCTATTGTTTCTCCCGGTATGTGGTGAAGTCTTCCAGCCCTGTGTGGGCAAGGCAGGAGGTAGTCTGGGGCTGATAACCTCTTGCAGCTGGGAAGGGCTCCAAAGACTTGGGCCTTAGGCTTGGATCTCAGAACAGAAGCGATTAATGTGGAAAGCAGAGCACAGAGGGTCTGAAGCGCATGCCCGGCAGGTGCAGGGGGCGCGCAGTGGCCGCCTTCTCCGCTGCGGCCTTCCCTTAAAGAAGAGCCGCCGCCGCTGCGGCAGGGACCTCCCCTTTAACAGCGGCGGCTCCGCGCTCCGCTGCCCCCGCGGTGGCTAGCTGCTGCGGCTGCTACTGCGGCTCCTTTCGCCGCCGCCGCCGCCGGCCTCGGGCCACTGCATCCTCCGCCCGGCCGGGTCCCGCCCCGCGCCCCGCCCGGCCGCGCCATGGTGTCCTGGATCATCTCCCGCCTGGTGGTGTGAGTGTGGCGGCGGCGCGGGGCGCGGCCGGTTACAGGGGAGGCGTTGGGGGCCCCGGGTGGGCAGGTATTAAAACCTGGGATGTAACACCTCGCGGCTTCATACAACCGAGCCACCTAAAGGCACGTCATCCCTAATTAGGGATCCCCGGAGACCTGGAGGTGTGGGACCCAGGACTGGAGGGAGGGGACTTGGGGGAGCATGGCAGGCCTGACTTTCTCAGGGAGCTTGCCCACCCCTCTATTTTTCAATTTCCCCAGCGATCCACCCTGCACCCTCCCAACCTCAACCTCCGGGCTGGGCCGCAAGGCCTGATAAGGGGAGGCCGGCGGTCCCCTCCCCCACCTATCAGAGATGGCTTCTGGAGCCCCTCAGACCCGGGCCCTTATCTTCCAGGGGGCAGAGAGTCTATTTAAAAAGCGGGGAGCAAGGCAGGGCCTCGTCACACCCATGGACCCATTCCACAGCTCAGAGCCATAGCCAACTCGCCTTGCCTCCCCAAAGTACCGGACCGCAACTGCCAAGAGAGGAGCTCATGCCCTAAAGGCCTCCCCGCCGCCGCCCCCCTCCCAAGTAGGACATCTCCCTGCAGAGATGCTTGGAGGACAAAGTGGAGGAGGTGGCAGGGAGTCTGTGCAACGCAGCCAGCGATTGCACGGAGCCCCTGGGGGGGAGGGTGCGCATGGTCACAGCGTGGAACTATTCGCCTTCACCTCCCCCGCCTGGCCACGGGAGAAAACCATGCCCCATAATCCCAAACTTTGTACTTCAGGCTTCTACCACTATCTGCACTGCCCAATTTAGAAGTCACCTGTCTGGATCAGGCAGGTCCATAAGGGAACAGGTGCACCTACACAAGGGGTGGGCCTGACAGAAACTCGGGAACCTGGGACAAACCCATGACCCGACTCAGGACCCTGCCTCTCAGCCCCCAGCAGCCGCTCAGTGCTGCCTTCTCCCCATTTTGTGCTGTTACATAGCTGTGTCCTCGGGTCTACACATCCCTCGCCCTCAGCCCACCTGGGGGAAGTCAGCGCCCACACCGCCAAGTACCTTTCCAATGATGACTGCTTCTCTGGGGTCCCAGTGGGCTCCTGAGAGTGCCAGTCTCTCCCTCCTCACCGCTGTTCTGCCTGTGATTCTTAATGGGATCACCGGGAAGCTCTCCGCTGAGCTCTATCCCCAGGAACTTGACCAGAGGAGTGGGGTGGGGGGTGGGGGCGAGGATGAGCCTCCTTGCCCCTTCCAGGGCCTCCTGCCCCTGTGCCCTTTGCTCCTAGGGGCGAACTGGCGGCTCTGACTGCCAGGCCCAAGGCCCTATTAGGGGGTGTGCAGTTCCCCCGCAGAGCTGACAGAGGGCAGATGTGCACAGATAGGCATGGTGTCTGGGGAAGGAAGGCTGGCAGGAATCCCTGTAGCAATGACAAACCCACTCCCCATGATATGTTTGGTGACCCACTATGGGGTTGAGAAAAACTGGGCAATGGGAGAGGGTCGGGGCACCACTCCAGCTGACTGGGCATCGCCTGAGCAAAATTCACCTCTCCAGCCAATGTGACCCTCCCTCCTCCCCCCACCTACCCAGGGACTTGGTGCAGAGCTGGGAGGGAGAGGGGCCCAGTAACCCTGCCTGCCTCCCTAGGCTCATCTTTGGCACCCTGTACCCTGCCTATTCTTCCTACAAGGCCGTGAAGACGAAAAATGTCAAGGAATATGTGAGTGCCTGACCCCATGGCCTCCCACCCAACCCACCTAGTATGGGGAAGAAGGAAGGGGGGGTCATATTACGCATGGGAGACTGTAACAGTGCTGCCGGGGACCACTGTCGGATCCTTGATCAGCGGCAGCCCCGTGTGGTGTTCCTTTTCCCCAGCCCATTGTGATCTGCAGGCAAAGCGACCGGCCTGGGCATCCCTTCCCCACCATGCCCCTGGCACCCAGAGGGAGGGCCCTGGGTGTTCCCCCAGCTCTGGAGTGGCTGATGGGCAGTGCCTTCTGTCCCCGCAGGTGAAATGGATGATGTACTGGATCGTCTTTGCCTTCTTCACCACAGCTGAGACCCTCACCGACATCATACTCTCCTGGTGAGGCCCGGCAGCTGTGCCCTGCAGGCTCAGCCAGCCAAACAGAAGATTGAGACCCAGGGTGGCACGCCACCCCCACCCCTCCACAACCCCTTGGGGTCCCAGCCAGCAGAATGAGCTCAGACACAGCCCCAAGCACCACAGTGGGACTCAGGAGCCCGGCTTCTGCCACCACGGCGCTCTGTGCCTCAGTTTCCCTACCTGTAAAATAGAGATGGGATCCAGTCCCCCATAAGCACTGGCTGCTTGCACTTCCAAGGCCTTTTTCTCCTGGTACCCTTATCTCTGTGTGAGCCTGAGGAGGGCAGGGACTGGCCCTTCCCCCTTGGCATGCACTCTGGCTGGCGCACAGCAGGCGCTCAGGCAGATGCCTCTGAGGAGGGAAGCCAAGTAAGTGCAGGCCCTGGAAGTCAGTTGAGAGGGAAGAACAAAGATCAGGCCTTTGCACGGGAAGTTTCGGAGGGCCTGCTGGCCTGTGAGAAAAATCAGTGTGAGCAGAGGCCGGAGAGGGTCTGAGTAGAAGAGTCACTGGTTAGAAATGGAGGGTAGGGAGTGTAGATAACCTCCCACCACAAGAGAAGAAGGGTTTGGAAGATGGCCTTGTGAGGGTGTGGAAGGCCTGGGAGGTGGGAGGGGGGGTTCTTAGTGGGAGGGAAAGCTGTGGAGAAGGGAGAGCCGACCTACAAAGGGAGGCGTGCCGTGAGTGAGAGGGAGCCGCTGGCTGACCCCCTCCTGGGGAGGGCGAGCAGGAGAGGGAGGCCATGGAGATGAGGCACAGACGGGACCTGGGAGATTATGGAGCTCACCTTGGCTGGTGGCAGTTTCAGGACGGAGGGGGTAGGTTGCCATGTAGTGTGAGTGGGAATTCCAAAGGAGAGGCAAGGATCCCGATGCCAATGGGAATTCCTTGGGGCGTCTCCTCCCCCCTTTCCATGTGGGGTTTCATCTGAGCTCCCCAGTGCCCTTGGCAGCAGTGGGCACCATGGAGCACTAAGGAGGCAGAGGCTACCCAGGGTCATGCTGAGCCAGCAGACCTGGCTCCTTGCCCCGGTGCTTTGCCACCTGCCTCTGCTGTTCACCACCCCCTCACCCCCACCCCGCAGGTTCCCCTTCTACTTCGAGCTCAAGATCGCCTTCGTGATATGGCTGCTGTCTCCATACACCAAGGGCTCCAGTGTGCTCTACCGCAAGTTCGTACACCCCACGCTGTCCAACAAGGAGAAGGTTTGCCCCCACGCCTGCAGCTCCCTTCCTGGTTCTCGCTTGGGGGTGCCTGGAACCCAAAGTGAACCTGCTGTGCCGCTGTTCGGATGTGACCAGGGTTGGGCAGGGCCTTGCCAGAGGGCCCACTCGTCACCTCTTGCTTCTTCTCACGGACCGTCAGGAGATCGACGAGTACATCACACAGGCCTGTGACAAGAGCTACGAGACCATGATGAGGGTGGGCAAGAGGGGCCTGAACCTGGCTGCCAATGCCGCAGTCACAGCTGCTGCCAAGGTGAGACACCCAGGTTATCAGGGCCCCCACCTCAGTGACGGTCCCCTATTCCTCATGCCACCCCCCCCACCCCAGATGTCCTTCCATCTCCTGGTCGTCAGGGGCTGTGGAAGCTTTGAACTTTCACAGCTCTGGGTTCAAGGACTGGCTCTTATCTACCCATTCTCCAGCTGTGTGCCCTCATGCAAATCACTTGTACTCTCTGAGCCAGATTCCTCATCTGTGAACACAGGAGAGGAGGGCACTCCGCTCTCAGTGCTGTTGTGTAGGACTGGACCCCCGGGGGCAGTGTGGGCGCGGCATTGAACCCTCGTGCATGTGTGCGTGCATGCGTGGTAAGGTGGCTGCCGTCAGCACCATGGTGACCTCTCTCTCCACCCTGCCCCTTCCCCACCCCCACCCCTGTCGTCTTCCCGGTGTATGCGTGGTGGTGACCCTAGGGCCAGGGGGTGCTGTCAGAGAAACTCCGAAGCTTCAGCATGCAGGACCTGACTCTGATCCGAGATGAAGATACCCTGCCCCTGCAGGGACATGATGGCCACCTCCGACCCGGCCCCGGTGGCAGCCTCCTGGACACTATAGAGGACTTGGGTACAGGCAGGGCCCTCGGGAGGCCAGTGGGTGTGGGGGGCTGTGGCCAGGTGGGAGAGACACCCGGGTCCCTGTTCACCGTTTCCTCCCAACCAGGAGACGACCCAGGTTTGAGTTTAAAGGCTAGCATGAACCAGGCAGACCCCCGGACAGAGACTTCTGAGGATGACGCAGGGGACAAGGCCCCTAAGAAGGTCAAATCTATCAAAAAAATACCCAAAGCGGAGGTAAGCACCTGGGCCAAAGCTGGGCGGGGAGGGGGTGTTGTGGGTGCAGTATGGAAGAAGGTGACTCTATGCTGTTGTCTTCCCTTCCGCCCACCCTCTTCCCCACAGCCACCAGCTTCCAAGACGCTGAAGACCAGGCCCAAGAAGAAGGCCTCTGGTGGGGTCGACTCAGCCTGAGGCCCCCCCACGCCCCCTGCAGGCTGCACAGCAAGGAGGGAGCCTCTGCCTCAGCCCCGCCCCTGCTCTCCCTCTGTGCCAGTGGCCCAGATGTCTCAGGCCCCAGGGCCCCTCAGATGGCCACCTCAGGAGCCATCCCGTTGACCCCTCCTCTGGAATGGACTTGGAGAAGAGGAGGGAGGCGCTACGATGAGGGGGGCACGGGGTGAGTCTGGACTAGGGACAAGCCTGAGCCACCCACTCTGCTCCAGGAGGCGAGGGCTCCCAGGAGCCTGCCCAGTTATTCTCCTGTCCCAGCCCTGCCCCCGCCCACCCAGTGCCTTGCTGAGGACCAGGGCCATGCTCTTCTCTGAACTCCGGTTCTCCCCATGGAGGGGGCCACAGCCCAGATGAACCAAGGCACTGAAAGAGCCAGGAGTAAGCGCGGAAGGCCTGGCCTGGCCTCTGGCACAGGCCCCGCGCCCAATGGACCACACCGCAGCCACCTGGGTGGACGTTGTCAGAGTGCATAAATGAGCAAGGTGACCAGGCTGGAGCTGCAGTGGGGCTCTCTCCCTGGGCACGGGGTGGGGCTGTGTGCCAAATGTCCCCACCAGAAAAAAGAGGTGGGGGCCCCAGGTGTGTGTGTGTCTATCTGTCTGGGTCTGGGGTGGGGAGGACTTTGCCTCTACCCTTCACCTCTCCCATCATGGGCCCTACAACCAGCTGACCCCTTGTCAGCCCAGCTGCCCCTCCCAGAGTCCGAGTCTCAGTGGGCTCTACAATGGGTCTATGTGACCCCTTGCTCTCTCCTCATTCATTCCCTGGGACCACCTGTCCCCTCTCCTCTGCCTCGTTAGATCTTACCAGGCCACTGGGGTAGGGGAGAGATGTCAGGACCGAGAGGGAGCCCCCAGAGGCCTCTGGCCGCCTCCTCTGCCCGGGCCCACTTATTCCCACCCTGCCCTGTGCCTCAGCCCCCTGCTGAGTGGGTAGCTTCCCTTTTCCCTGGAGGTTCCCCTCCCCCTTCCCCCCAGCCATCTTCCTGTGCCAAGCCGCCTGGGCCCTTTCTGAGCAGAACCCACCAGGCCCGGCGTTCACCCCACACCCTGCCCAGCTTCTGCCGTGCTCTTAGTCAGGGCCCGGAGGGACACGTGAAGAAAACACTCCGAAGCCAAGGGCCGCCAGTTCCGTAGGAGAAAGGTGAACAATGGACCTCTGACACTGGATGAGCCAATAAATCAAACTCTGGCACCTCATTTTTTGGGAGCCTCTGTACTTTGTTCTTGCCCTTTGCAGTCCAAAGGTGAGAGACAAGACCAGCTGTCTTTCTAGGTCAGACTAATGAACAGGAACTCAGCAGACGAGTTGATTCTGTCTGAAACATAGTTTTAGGGTTCAACATAGTCAGGGGTCTAAGAGGGGTCAAGGACTTAAAGATGGTCTTGGCCCTCAGCATCCTTCCCTAAGGCCTCCTCCCCCAAAGGGTTTTATGGCACCCACCAAAAGAGCCAGGTGTAGATTCTGGGGAAAGCCCCAAAAGGCTCCTAGGGAAGGCAGGGCAGGATTCAGACCTGGTGGCCACTATGCCTAGAAAAACCAAGACATGGGGGTGGCTGTGTGTAACCAGAGCTGAGAGGAAGATAGGGGTGTGATGGGGGACAGGCTGTGGAAGACTGGCTCCATCAATCAAAAAGGTTGGGCCAGCAAGGAGGATAAGGGGCCAAGGGCTGGGGCCAAAGAAGCAAGCCCAGGGCTGGCCACAGGCCGAGGGCAAGCCAAGAGGGAGGTTGTCACTGTCATGCACGGGTCTGCCTCCTCCCTCAGGGAGCTGTGGTCGCCATTGGCCAATGAGCAGAATTGGCTGAGAGGGAGGCTCCGGCCAGAACAGGAGCAAAAGGAAGGATCAGAGGGAGACAGAATGGAGAGGGAGGGAGGGAGGGAAGAGGAAGGATGGAACAGCAGAGATCCTGCAGCTTAACCTTGTAGCTGGAACATGGAAGCAGGACACGAAGGGATATATGGTGGGGCCGCCTGGGCCCGGCTCTGGACCCCGGCTGGCGCTGCCCTAGCATCAAAGGGGCTAGTCCTGCTGTGGCACTTGAGTCAGGCTGGCCAAAATCCTCTTGAAATGAGGTCACAGTGCGGGGCAGGCTATGAGCTGCCTCTCTCATCCTCCCTGGGGTCCTCCAGAGGTCGTTCCTTCACCACTGGGCTCGGAGCAGTGTGACCCACTTCTCTATCAGGAGAGTGAGGAAGGCAGGTGCCAGCGCAGAATGCAGGGGAGAGAGCCCCTTGTTCTAGAAAGATCCCCCGAGGATAAGATGCTGCAGTCCTATGCTAGCAGCTACCACTTAGCAGGGAAACCAGGCAAGGCTCTCTGTAACCTAAATACACACACACACACACCTCTTTCCCCCCACCCCAAGATACATGCCTGTACCCACAGAGACTGGTCGACAGACTCGAGAGGCCACGACCAGGGTTAGGTAAGCAGAGTGCCTCTTGTGCCATGTACACTGGGGCTTCTGCATGTCATCAGGAACATGCTTAGGTTTCCAGGCTCATTGGTTTGTTGCCATGGAAACAACCAGGCTCCTAGAACTCTAGGCACAGAGCCTGGCCCCTGTGGTGCAATAGGAGAAAAGGAGACAAAAGGTGCCCGAAATAGTGGCTTCAAAGGCTCCTGAAGGGAGACCAGGGGGACAGGTCTGGGGCTAAGGGGACCTTCCCAGGACCACCTGTCCACTCCCCTCTGCCTCAGTAGATCTTTCCAGACCAGTGGAATGGGAAAGAGATATGAGGAGTGTATTCCATGAAGGCTTGATCCTGTGGGTCACCAAGGAGCAATGAGAACCTAATAGCTTTGGGTTGGGGGCGAGGCCTGGAGTCTGAACCCATGTCCCATGTCCAGGCCTGATTAGGGACACTGGACAGACCTCCAGGGCTGTGATGGTCTCGAATTCAAGATGCTGCAGCTGGCTCGCCTCTTTTTTTTTTTTTTTTTAGGATTTTTAATAATTTTATTTTCTAATCGCTTTATTAGGGGCTCATACAACTCTTATCACAATCCATACATATATCAATTGTGTAAAGCACATTTGTACATTCCTTGTCCTCATCATTCTCAAAACACTTGCTCTCCACTTAAGCCCCTGGTATCAGGTCCTCATTTTCCCCCCTCCCTTCTCGCTTCTCCCTCCCTCATGAGCCCTTGATAATTTATAAATTGTTATTTTGTCATATCTTGCCTTGTCCGACGTCTCCCTTCACCCACTTTTCTATTGTCCGTCCCTCAGGGAGGAGGTCACATGTAGATCCTTGTCATCGGTTCCCTCGGTTCCCTCGTTCCAACACACTCGGATCATGATAGTAGGGGGGCGCGGGGCGGAGGAAGCATTTAGGAACTAGAGGAAAGTTGTATTTTTCATCATTGCTATATCACACCCTGACTGGCTCGTCTCCTCCCTGAGACCCCTCTGCCAGGGGATCTCCAGTGGCCTACTCATGGGCTTTGGGTCTCCACTCCGCACTCCCCCCATCATTCACTATGGTAAGATTTTTTGTTCTGATGATGCCTTATACCCGATCCCTTCGACAGACACCTTGTGATCGCACAGGCTGGTGTGCTTCTTCCATGTGGGCTTTGCTGCTTCTGAGCTGGATGGGCGCTTGTTTACCTTCAGCCTTTATGGCTCCCCTCTATTGTGGGCGCCCTGCACCAGGATTTCCATCCAGGCTGTGACATCAGAGGAATGCCAGCAGCAAGCCGGGGGGCAGCTCAGCACAGCGCAGAGGTCCCAGAATGCCAGGGTGAGGCACTTTCCAGGGCGGAAACCCCTTCTGGCTTCCAGGTGCTAGGTATAGATCTCCTGTGCCCACTCCAACCTCAGTCCCTACTGCTGTAATCCTCTCAGGCTTTGTCCCATTGCCTTAAATTTCAGCCATGACAAGATTCCCCACCCCCACCCCCACCCCCTCTTCCCTGCTGCCCCAGTCTCCCTGTGAACTGAGTCAGGCCTGCCTGAAGGTGGGAGCAACTCAAGTCCTCCCAGCCAGACAGCCGCCTTCCTTTGGGTCCTCCCCAAGGCGGCCCCCAGATTCCCCTAGGCTGGAAGCAGCAGCATAAGGATCCCTGCAGGAAGGGGACAAGCCCACTAGATGGCGCCGCTCCCCCCAATGTGGGACGCCCCCGCCTCCTGGGGAAGACAACTCCTGCAGCCAGTTGGCCTCAGAGCATTGGGTAAGCAGTGCTTGGTGGCTCCTCAACCTGTGGCTGGAGCCTTGTGAAGAAAAGCACCTTTGTGGGTGGGCAGGGTAGGACAGTGGGAATTCTCAAGCAGTAATTCCCAGCTCCCTAAATCCAGCCTGAGTGCAGACCCCTGCCCACTTCTCGCAGGAGATGGTCAGATTCAGAAGACACTCCTCGGGATGGGGATGAGCGTCAGGCAGTCTTCCAGGAGCAGGGAATTTGAGGGGCTCACCTGAGAGGGCCCTTCAGCCAATGGGATCCAGCCTGGAGTTCCCGCCAGGGCTGGTTTCAGAGACAGATGGGGAGAGTGACAGCCGAGGGGGGCGGGGGTAGGGAGGGGGAGAGGAAGTTCACAAAGCTGTGGCTTTCCTCTTGACCTCCATGAGGGGCTACAGTGGTCGGCCCAGGCGGTTTCCCTGCCTGCTGCCCTTTGCCCTTAATGCCCTCTGGGGTTATGTGGGACTGAAAGAGGAGACAAGGGCCCTAGTCCCCACGTGGTGGTGCAGGGGTGAGGAAGGCGCTCATCCCTCCTCCATGGTCTACCTTTCCCTGACCTCTTCCCTATGAGTTACCTGGGGCCTTTTGTCACAGCCAGATGCATGATCAATAAATCATGCTGCCTGAAATATTGATGGCGAGTTTTACACCAACATGGCTTAGCTGCGCCTGTCTTTGGGAAACTAGTGGCTGACAGGGAGACACATTCCACCCACCACGGACAACTCTTTTTTGCCTTCCCCAACAGCAGGTCTGTGTTCCAACCCATACCATCTAAGGGCAACTATTGGTCTCTCCCTATCCAGAGCAAGACGAGTGAAGTCCATCAAAGACTCAGTGACCCTAAAGGACAGGGTAAGACTGCCCGTGTGAGTTTGGGAGAGGGTAACTCTTTGCAGGGAGTAGAGGGCCCCATCTTTCTTCCAAATCAATGACACAGGCACATGGAGATAATTAATGTGAAAGACTTAACGGGCCTGGTGAGCCTCAACGTCCATAATTGAAGACCATAAGAACTAGATGGTGCCTGGCTCCCACTCAGAATGGGATCACAATAGGAGGTCCTGGATAGGGGGGCGAGGGTGGGGGGAGAATGTAGACCAAAATTGAGAATCGTAAAAAAGACCAGGTTTACTGGACTGATAGAGGCTGGTGGAACCCTGAGACTATGGCCCTTAGGTACCTTTCAAGTCTGGGACTGAACTCACTCCCTGCGGCTCAACTTTCATTCACCTTATAGGCAGGCCTATCCCAGGTTGCAGCCATCTGGCTCCACTGTCCTGGAAGAGGGGTGAAGAGAAAGGAAAGGAGGTAGGGAGGTGCTAAGTTGGAGGAGGCAGTGGAAGTGCCAGAGCCCGACTCAGCAAGCACCAGCTCCCTGCTTGGCAGAAACCAGGCCCACTCAAACCTGTGCCTGCTGTGCTCCTCCTACCCGAAGCCCCTCTGCTTCACCTGGCCAGCTCCTGGGTGCGCTTCAAGTCTCAGCTCAGCTGAGGTCACCTATCTGTTGCATCTCCTGCCCCTGCAGGTCCCTTTGTGCCCTTACCCTCCTGTAGATCACTCTGTTTGAGCATTCATCACCTTTTCTAGAGTTTTCCCCACCAGTCTGAATGCTAGAGGTAGCTGAGAGGAGTTAGCAGGCCTGCTTCTCCACTGTCTTCCCAGGGTCTAGCATGGGGCACCGGTCACATTTTTTAAAATCATTTTATCGGGGGTTCATACAACTCATCACAATTGTAAAAAGCACATTTGTACATTCGTTACCCTCATAATTCTCAAAACATTTGCTCTCCAGGTAAGCCCCTGGCACCAGCTCCTCATTTTTCCCCTCCCTCCCTACTCCCCCTCTCTCATCAACCCTTGATAATTTATAAATTATTATTTTGTCATATCTTATACTGTACAACGTCTCCCTTCACCCACTTTTCTGTTGTCCATCCCCCAGGGAGGAGGTTATATGTAGATCCTTGTAATTCCTCTTGGTTACATTACCCTTGGCCATGCCCTACC